CAGTTCTTCTATCTATCTATCTATCTATCTATCTGTCTGTCTGTCTGTCTGTCTGTCTGTCTGTCTGTCTGTCTGTCTGTCTGTCTGTCTGTCTGTCTGTCTGTCTGTCTGTCTGTCTGTCTGTCTGTCTGTGTCTGTCTGTCTCTCTGTCTGTTACAGGAGAAAGATGTGAATGATTTCCGTGTGATGAGAGCACATAGCTGCAAGAGAATTGTTAGCCATTAGCAACGCTGAAGTTGGACTTAAACCTTTTCCGTGTTAGTTTAGGTATATCTAAGGCTTCGGAAAAATATTGTGCTTTATTGTGGATGTTTGTCGAAACCTATTTAACCTCTTTGTTTTTTTTACCTCAGCTTATCATTTAAAACCTGGATCAGATGTCAGCTTTTGACTTCCCTTTGATAACTTTGTGATCCATGATGGTGAATCTGCACTTGCAGCAGCATCATAATTTCCCCCCAGCTCAGCAATATTATTTTAAACATCAAAATGGAAGTTTCTTTCCTCTTCATGTAAAACGCTGTGAATTAAGTACAGATTCAGCTTTTATGATGTTTAAAAATAACAGCTCCAGACAAACTCTTAATTTTCAGTCAAGAAAAAACAAAACAAAACAAAGGTAAGTTAATTTATTCATCTTCAAGGAGGAAAAAAGGTGATTTAGAACCTGAGGGGACTTGCAGCCAGACATGTGCCTCTGGTTTTTCCTCCGCCCACCCTAGAACAACACTGCACCATTTCCGCTCTAAAAGATGTCCATAAAAGAATACTGCAATTCAGAAAATTTCAGGTCCCAACACCTGATCTTAAAAAGAAAGAAGAATTTAAGTACCATCTACTCAGTTTGAACTTGTTGGACTAATTAAACATTTCTCTCAGGACTTTAAAACTATATAATTAAAAAGTAATTTCCCAAAATGATAAGGTAAGAAAGACGATGGATTAAAAGAAAGTCTGTTCTCCTGTCCTCCCATCTCTCCCACGGAAGCATCCTGTTCTCTGTAGTGGTTTCCAACACAATCCACCACTCTATTTTCTTCTTCTAGGGGGATTCACCAAGGCTGTCGGATGTGTTTTATAAACATGAGGTATAAAGTTGGTTTAATAACCAAGTAATGGTTTACTGGTTCATGCTTCTGTGTAAGAAAACACAAGCTTCTGTGTTTCTGATGATTCAGAGATTCTAAAAGACCTGAAAACAAAGCCCTAGTTTAAGATCTGCTTCTTGTCGTTGTCTGGTATGCTTTCTGCAGCTTTAGCACTACGACCCAAGAACTCCATAAAATAATACAACAATGGTACTCATTATGTTAATTGCATCCTTTTGGGGAAATTATTACAGGCAAACAGCAAATTAGTCTGCACTGAGGAAAATGTGGGACAGAGAGGTGCAGATGAAAGAAAAGAACAGAGAGCCGCTGTGTAAAGGAAATCTAATAAAAGTCCTGTATTTTATTAATCCATAAATAAATAAGATTTATTGACAAAAACATAAAACAAAATCTGCCACGGCTGAGGGGCTGGAATGTTTCTGTATGCCCTTTAGAAAGCATAGTTGCAGCCCTGATTACAAATACTGAATTGCACCTGAAAAGAGTGGGATGATTTAGTGGTGAAGGAGCCAGACCCATGGCAGGTAAATGAAACAGACCTGTAGTGCTTGGTAGAAAAAGAAAAATGAAGATTTGGGATTTACATTTCAATGTCATGTATTAAAACAAGTCCACACGTAAAACATTGTTTTAAAAACCCTCCACATAAAGGCTTTAAAATTTGGCTTATCTGTTGGCTACTTTAACATGCTGTCTAAGGGGATATTAACTTATTTTTCTAATTACCACCTAAAAATCTTTTCTCTTTAGTGTAATGTTGATTTAGTTACAGTTGCAGCTCACTTTACTAGTTTAGGGAATCTTGTCCTAAAGCTGGGTTTGTCAAATCTGGGTCTCGAGGTCTGGTACCCTACAACTTTAAGAAGTCTCTCTGCTTCCACATCTGAATCAAAGGCTGACTTACCTCCTCAAACTGCAGTAAAGTTCTTCAGAATCCTGTTAATGGCAAAATAATGTGCTTCAGGTTATTATGGGCTTTCTTATTATTGAAGGATTGGCATTTACTGTGACCTAAAGCTAGAAACAGCTGCTGTCTGCCAATGAGCCGTCCAATGATTTAATGATGACTCGTTCACTTCCCTGCGCTGTAGAAAGTACCTCTGGCTGCAGCCCTCTGTGTTTCCTTGGTTTCTAAACGTTTGCTGCCATTGCATCCTTGGATTTTTGTCTTTTCTGTAGAAAGTATAAATAGCTTAGTTTTCTGTGTTATTGTTTTTATTTCTCCTCCCTCTCTTCTTAACCCTGAGCCAGTTGAGTAGATGGCTGCTCATACCAACAGAGGTTCTTTGTTGAGGTTTCTTCCTGCTAAAAATGTTTTTTTTTGTGTGTCTCTCAGCTGTTGCCACATCCTTGCTCAGAATGATGGATTGCTGCAGGGTCAGTAACTTGGTGCAGTCAGCCAGGTTTCTTTAGATAGCGCAGACGAACATTTTTATCTTGTTGCTGTAAAGAACCTGCGTAAGTTAGTTGTGAACTGATGCTGCCTGCAAAAACTGACTGAAAGGAGCTATCTTTACATTGACACTTTCTCTTTGATTTAAACATTTTTTGTGTGTGTATATCTGTTAGGTTGTGAAAGAAAATTGCATTAACCAAAGTGACACTAAAGCTCAAATAAATTGTGTGATCGAAGGAAACATTCCAAGACCTGATGTCATCCTTTTTTTTAGTCAACTAACAGCTGACTGCTTGACGTGGCTCCATGTTTATTTGCAATCAGAGCTATAACTACTCTGGACAGATTTTACTGCTGGCTGTGACACACTCCTACGTAAAGCTGTCGACTTCTAACCTAATCAGTCAGGACACATGTAAGTAAACGGTCTGGACAGGGCCTTTGGCTCAGGAAGGAAAAGGAGAAGCTTTGGAAGAGCTTAAGAAAGTGAAGGAATGTGCCGCAAGTAAAGAAAAACAAAAAAAAAACCAACTAAAGACTGTATGTTTGAAAAATGAATTTTTTTTTTAGATGTTACAAAGATTTTATCCAAAAGTCTCAAAAATGGTTGGAAAACACAATGAAAAGACGACTTGATTTATGTCCAAACGACGTCTACATTTGGTTGAAAACTTAAAGGTGAAAGGCTGTAATTTTCAGATTGTTGAAAAGACGGCTGTTTTAAATGTCTGTTATTGGACTAATATGGAAGAAAATCAAACTGACCGAACATTGCCCAATTTTCAAACATTTTTGGACTAAATTAAGACTAACAGACCAACCAGATGTAGCCTAAAACCCATCGTCTAAATGATGTCTGGTGTTTGGGGGAACAGGTCCGCCTCCATTGAACCTGTCAGAAGCTAACAAAGCCATGACATCATCATCACCATCATAGTCTTTGGCTACGTTCACACTGCAGCTTGAAGTGACCCAAATCCGATTCTTTTGGCCCACATGCGACCTGGATCTGATCTTTTCATTGCAATCTGAACACAGATCCGATTTTTTTCCAATCCAACCCAGGCCACTTGGCTATGTGGTCCTGAATTAAATACGAATCTGATCTTTTCCAATGCGACCTGTGTGTGAACGGCCAGGTCGGAGTCATCCAACCTGAACGTCATTAATACCATACAAAGGTCACTATTCTGCCTCTTGCTACGCAGAAGTGGCAAGAAAAACAACAATCATGGCAGATGATGATGCGGAGAGCAGTATTTATCTTTAAACATATTGAAAAGAATGAGTTTTTATGGTTGGAATAGACCGCTAGTCTTTTCCAACCATGTTTACACTTCCGTAAACATGGAGCACGCTAGCCTGTGACGTTATTGCGTACTCTACTGCGCATGTGGGACACTTGCATTGTATGACGGCAGTTCACACAGGAGATCACATACAAGTTGCATATATTTGAAAATATATGAACGGCAACGCAGAAAAAAATCGGATTTCACAAAAAAAATTCGGAATTGAGCTTCTTTAACTTCTTTAACTGCAGAGAAGGGTTTGTTTTGTTGTTGTTCTGAGAAAGAAACTTAAAATATCTATTTCTATCACTATTCTTGCAGAAATTTAAATAATTTTGGCGCTCTTCGCTGAACTAAAATAGGAATAGATTAATCCAAATTAATGTGACTTTAAAAAGGTTGAGTCTTTTCATAAGCTGTATGTAAATATCTGCAAGCTGTCCTTTATCCCGATTGCATAATTCCTGTCCAAAGAATAACTTATTACATTACTTATCATTTCACTAATGAAATAACAGGATAACTAAGGAATAACATGCTCATAGGGGAGCAGGAGAGTTGATCATAAATGAAACGTGTGGATAAAGGAAAAGAATACCGCAGAAAGCTGCAGGGTATAAAGAAATAAATGGACATGCACCTGAGAGATTCTGTGGGGAAGATGCAAACATTGGGTCTAGTTCCAAAATGATCGTGAGAAAACATTAGGATTTCACCTTTAATAAGAGCTTTACTAAAAGCCCCTCACTGTATGCTTGCTTTTTCCTCTGCTTTTTCCTCTAATTTCCAACCCCAACCCCTCGCCTTCTGTTTTCTTTACTGATAAGGAGAGTATGTACACACACACACACATGGACAGGCACACACAGACAAACAGGTGAAGATGTGATTGTGGAGCAGGTGTCCCCCAGATTGCAGTTAGGTGTGTGGTGAGACAGAAAGGAGAGAACGAGGTTCTCTGCTCTCCAGCTTTGATTGAGGGCTGTGTTTGTGTTCATCAAGTGATGAGACTCATGCATGAAACAGCAGGCACAGAAAAAATATATATTAAACAAGGAGACAGAGAGAGCGAGAAAAAGAGGGGGTGGGTTTAGGTGCAAGCATCATTGCAGTTCATATTCTCCCACGAGCCTGTGAGGAGATCGTCGCTGAGACACCCTCCCTCTTTCATTTTCTTTCTCTCTCTCCTCCTTCTTGTCTGCTCTCCAGCGGAGGGGAGGAGGGGGCAGTGCTCCTGCTGTGTCGATGGGTAGGCAGTTACAAACGTTACTATTTTGAGAGAGTCAGTCAGTGTATATGCTCCATGCGCAGTGGAAAGCCATCGAGGAACCAAACCTGGCAGAGAAAGGCAGAGTCAGCTTGAGATGCTTTGGAAAATGATGCAAAGGAAGTCTCGGACCTGCGGCTGAACCATACGAGCATCCAAGGAGAGGGTAGAATTTAAAATTAGGAGTTCACTCACCAATAAACTCTGCAGAACTGAAGCATACCTTTGTAGATTTATCCAGGAACACCGGGCAAAAGACAGACTGAGAGGTGGGGGGGGGGAGAGAAATGGCAAGTTTTGGGAAACTCACCGACTACTTCAACCGCCGCAAGTCTCGAGAAGAGATCCGGGTGGGCAGAAGCTCGCGGCGCAGTGGCAGTTACTGCTGCACTGTGGCAGAAGCCAGGTAACCCATGTGTTGTGGCTGTGTTTGAGTCTGTGTCCAAAGGCATGTTCGTCTACATGCTGTCTGAATAATATCCAATGGAAACCCGTCACTTCCCTGTGATGTCTCTCTCTTCTTTCTGTCTGTATGCTTTGTCCTGTCAAATTCCTTTATTTACTGATGTGTATTTAACACCAGCATATTCTGAAGGTGCATGCTGAGAGGGGGAGTAACTGATCTGAACAGACACACCTGTCAGGCTTAAAGGTGCTTTGTTTTAGTGAGTCTGGGTTTGCGAACATTGTGTTACATAAGTGTGGAGGTTGGATTGGATGTGTTTTGTCAGGCATGCTGGATATCCACTATAGATTCTTCCCAATGACGCACAGTTTTAATATAAATCCTTTATTCTTTAGATAGAACAGGAAAGGATAAAGTCAATATGCTGCTTAAATGCAACCGGGGAGACGTGGAAAGGAGGAGGAAAAGAGGCAATGGTTTGTCTTGGCTTCCATGTGTCTTTCTGCTTTACACATTCACACTTTGGGCTTCCGTTTAGGGATGCACGATATTGGGATTTTGGCCGATATACGATATGCCGATATTTTAAAACTCATGTAGCCGATAACCGATATCGATACCGATGTTAAAGCTGGACAAAAATAAGTAGTCATTGAAAATAGCAGTTGTGTTATCCATTTCTGACACTTTGAAAAATAATATACTCAAATATATTTTCATATGCTGATATCAAATTGATTTTTAAAAACGCGCTATTTTACTTTCAAAATCTCATGAAATTTCATCGTTCTGTTACAAACTCTCATGATATTTTGCAAATTCTTGTGAGATTTTTTTAGTAAAATAGATTGATACCGCGTCAATATACACTATATTGCCAAAAGTATTTGCTCACCTGCCTTGACTCACATATGAGCTTAAGTGACATCCCGTTCCTAATCCATAGGGTTCAATATGACGTCGGTCCACCCTTTGCAGCTAGAACAGCTTCAACTCTTCTGGGAAGGCTGTCCACAAGGTTTAGGAGTGTGTTTATGGGAATTTTTGACCATTCTTCCAGAAGCGCATTTGTGAGGTCGCACACTGATGTTGGACGAGAAGGCCTGGCTCTCAGTCTCCGCTCTAATTCATCCCAAAGGTGTTCTATCGGGTTGAGGTCAGGACTCTGTGCAGGCCAGTCAAGTTCATCCACACCAGACTCTGTCATCCATGTCTTTATGGACCTTGCTTTGTGCACTGGTGCACAGTCATGTTGGAAGAGGAAGGGGCCAGCTCCAAACTGTTCCCACAAAGTTGGGAGCATGGAATTGTCCAAAATGTCTTGGTATGCTGAAGCATTCAGAGTTCCTTTCACTGGAACTAAGGGGCCAAGCCCAGCTCCTGAAAAACAACCTCACACCATAATCCCCCCTCCACCAAACTTTACACTTGGCACAATGCAGTCAGACAAGTACCGTTCTCCTGGCAACCGCCAAACCCAGACCCGTCCATCAGATTGCCAGATGGAGAAGCGCGATTCGTCACTCCAGAGAACGCGTCTCCACTGCTCTAGAGTCCAGTGGCGGCGTGCTTTACACCACCGCATCCGACGCTTTGCATTGCACTTGGTGATGTATGGCTTGGATGCAGCTGCTCGACCATGGAAACCCATTCCATGAAGCTCTCTGCGCACTGTTCTTGAGCTAATCTGAAGGCCACATGAAGTTTGGAGGTCTGTAGTGATTGACTCTGCAGAAAGTTGGCGACCTCTTCGCACTATGCGCGTCAGCATCCGCTGACCCCGCTCCGTCAGTTTACGTGGCCTACCACTTCGTGGCTGAGTTGCTGTCGTTCCCAAACACTTCCATTTTCTTATAATACAGCTGACAGTTGACTGTGGAATATTTAGGAGCGAGGAAATTTCACGACTGGATTTGTTGCACAGGTGGCATCCTATCACAGTTCCACGCTGGAATTCACTGAGCTCCTGAGAGCGACCCATTCTTTCACAAATGTTTGTAAAAACAGTCTGCATGCCTAGGTGCTTGAATTTATACACCTGTGGCCATGGAAGTGATTGGAACACCTGATTCCAATAATTTGGATGGGTGAGCAAATACTTTTGGCAATATAGTGTATCAACATATAAAAATATGGCAACATTTCATGAATTTTCGGGGGATTTCGTAGCATAACGATGACATATAGCAATATTTCATTAGTAAAAGAGATTGATATGGTGTTTTTAAATGGCAATATATCAGCATATGAAGATATTGTGATATTTTAATGTATCAATATGTTTTCCCTCGTCTTTAGAAGTTTTTAAGTCTGTAAAAAATAAGTTTTTGAGGAAGAAGAAGAAGTAATATTTTTTCTTTTTTTTTTAGACTTTAGAAACTCAGAAGCTGATCAAATATCGGGTTAAATATCGATGGGGTGGCCGATGTCCGATATTCAGTTTTAAGGCCGATACAGGCCGATACCGATAGGGGGCCGATTATGTCACGCATCCCTTCTTCCGTTAGCAATCAAATTGTGATATTGTTCAGTGGATCTACAGCGAAATGTGTAGAGGTCAGGGTGGAACATTTAAATGCTCAGTCTTATATATTAAAATTGAACCTTATGAACCAAATGTCTCCTTTTCTATCTTGTAAGGTAACTAGATTTATTTTCCATTTAGTGTTTTGCAACTTTTAATCTCCTGATCATTAACATGCTTCTTAGTATTGCTCATAAACAGTAAACCATACAAACAGACACAGCGAACCATAAATAGATTAATACATTTAATCTATCATTACAATGAGAAATTTGTAGTGATTTTTATTTACTTATTTGTTTTGTAATTATCAAAACAATTTTAATTAACTTAGCTCACCATGCATGTTTTCCTTTGGCATTTAGGCCAAAAAAGAAGGCGTGTTAAATTGTTTATTGATCATGTTAGGATCATTAATCTGCTCAATGACAACCCACTTTTGAGTTTCTGGCAGAGGCCACCTAATTATTTAATTGAAATCTACTGATAACTAAAATAGCTTGCATTGGAGGAGAAACGTGCCCAAAGTATCCCACATCTTCTGCTGCACAAGTATACATGAGGTGCACTCCAAACCGATTTACTGTAGCACCTTCAAAACATTTAGTTCATATCTTATTCTATAGTGTTTAGGGTAGGTTACAGTTACATTATAAGTTAACCTGCTCACGTTTTTATCCATGGCCAGGTGAATTATTTGAGCTTCTATGAATAAAATCACTGGCTCTGTATACTGTATAATCTCAATATATTTCCTAATGCCAGACTTGATGAAAAGATGTATCTTTACGTGCTTTAAGGTAATATTTTATGTTTTGCTTTGGCTTTTAAATGGTGTTTCTTAGACATAATTTTATTTAGTTACAGGAGGTGTATTGCTGTGGGTGGATATCTTAAAAAAAGGCTCAAGATGTCCTGCCTTTATCATCCAGCATCCCTCACATCCCCCCAGTTTGTCTTCGTCCCACTCAACGTCTCATTCTCTCAAGTCAGCCCTTCCTACGCCTCTCCATCTTTTTATGTGTTTCCTCTCTAAAACTTTGCATTTCTAGTGGACCACCAGTTTTTTTTTATTTTCCTTTTTCTGTGTCTCCTTTCCTATGCCAATTTTTCTCAAAAGTCTGTTAGTGCAAGATTGACATATTACAGCAACACTCTGGCTCTGTTGTCTTTATTGGAACTAAATCAGCTAAAAACAAGCTATTAAAGGGCAACAGTCCCAGTTATTTCAACAGACTTGGATTACAATTTAACACTGGTTGTAGAGAAATTCTTACAGCTTGATAACAAGTGAAATTTGCAAAGGATTTAAACAAAAAAACGACAAACTATATATTATTCTTATTACTTTATTTTAAAACAGATGCCTAAAATAATCACTGTAAAAGTATGTAACATTTCGATTACATTGTAATGGTATTTCTTAACGTTTCAATTGTCATATCTGAACTTTTTATAAACTATATACATTTCTCTTTGGCAGGGTTCTCTAACCTTACTCCGCCAGATGGATTTGCTCCGCATATCCAACTGGAAACCTTACGTAGAAGAAATTTTGGGAAGGGCGAAAATACTGGTTAGCTGATTGGCCTATGTTGGTGATAGACGGGCCAAATAAACCAATCAGATCAACGTTGCATATGACGTAACAGAGCGACGACGAAGAGGAGCCAATTGATAGATCAAACTCTTGCTGAAACCAGTCGGGAGAGGAGCAAAAACATCTTTTCCTCTGAGAAAAGCCTCCAGAGCAGTGTTTGCTCTTCTTTCAGTGAAGAAATACTCTGTAATTCCGATAAAACTTGCTCGATAGCCACGTTAACGCTAGTTTAATCGGCTGAAGCCGCCATGTTCTTCAGACTGAACTGTCACGCTTCTCGTTGCGGCACACTTCAACCCACCTCAAAGCCAACGCTGATTGGACGTTCGTTTGGTGAACAGCTCCAAATTTTCTTCAACGGAGAGTCTCCAGACTGATTAGCGGGTGAAATCTTGAAAGCTTGCGAGATCAGGGTTCTCCAACTCAGTCCTCAAAATCTACTGCATAGTTGGTAGATTCATCCCTGCTCCAAAATTCCTGAATCAAATAGTGGTTTGTTACGTGGAGTCCATTTTCAGTAAGGAGGTTTAAAAAAACTCAGATTTAAATCCTCAACTCTAAATTGATCTAGACTAAGGTTTGGAAACTCTTAGTTTTCATTTTCATTAAGGCTACTGTAAGTTAGTTTAATCAACTCTGAGTAGGTCCACTCAGAGTTGAACACATGCGTAATAATGATAGTGCATCAATGTATCTATTTAGGTGATATCATCTGGCAGCAGGTGAAGATGAAGTCTAAAAAATATTGTTCTAATAGATGGAACCTGTTCATCATCTCATGGGGTTGCTCCTCAGTATGATTCTCTCTTCCATTACACAGTAAATATATAGTGACTGTTTGCAGCCATTTCAGATGTTGCCGTGGTAGAATAAGTC